CCTAGGGGTGGGGGTGAGTTCCAGGGGTGGGGTGGGGGTGGTGGTCCAGGGGTGGGGTGGGGGGGTCCCAGGGTTGGGGGGGAGTGGGGGTCCCAGTGGTGGGGGTCCCAGGGTTGGGGGGAGTGGGGTCCCAGGGGTGGGGGTCCCAGGGTTGGGGTGGGGGGGTCCCAGGGGTGGGGGGAGTGGGGGTCCCTGTGGTGGGGGTCCCAGGGTTGGGGGGAGTGGGGTCCCAGGGGTGGGGTGGGGTGGGGGTCCCAGGGGTGGGGGTCCCAGGGTTGAGGGGGAGTGGGGGTCCCAGGGGTGGAGGGGGGGGTGGTCCCAGCTCTGTGTGTGTTTATTTTAAAGTCGACTCGAAAAGGAACGTTGTAATTAACATTAAAAGTATTCTTCGGGGCACGAAACATTCTTTTAACAGTGCAGTTCCGGGCGGAGAGGGAAGAGAACAGGAAAACATAGTTATATCTACGGTGGGGCCCACAACCGCGACATTCAGCTGCACTCTCTCCATGTAAATAAAGGGTTACTTTCCCTCTCTCTCCTCTCTCTCCTTCTTTCCTTCTCTCTCTCTTCACCCCCCCCCACCCCCCCCCCCCCACCTCGCTCGCTCTCTCTCTCATTCCTGTTTCGGTGCATTCACTAAACCTGCGGTACATTGTACAGTAAAATCTGTCGCCAATCTCTCCCGTTTGGGGGGAAAAAAAAGAGTGCAAAATCAAAACAAATATACAGAGGTATTTTTGTAAAACAATGCACGTTTCTGTTTCTGGGCGGGACTTGCTCGGCACCGCGTTTCGGTCGCTTCTTTTTTTTCCAAAAAAACACACAAAAGAAACGAAAAGGATATTTGCAAATCCGGAGGAAAAATCCGTCCCCACATTTGGGAAGAATGCAAAAATCGAGTGAATTGCAATTGCAAGGGTTTTTTTTTGTGGGGGGGTGGGGGGAAGGGGGGAGTGGGGTGCAATTGTACACATATATATATATATATATTTATAAAAGGAGGAATTCACCGCAGGTTTGTGTGAAGTGGAGTCCTGTAGCTCAGTGGTTAGAGCACTCGCTTTGCAAGCGAGAGACCCGAGTTCAATTCCTCGGGCAAGTTTCCATACTCCACACACAGCCCTCGTAATAATCCCTCCAAAAAAACCAGAAACAACAATAAAAAAATTGGTCCTTTTCAATCTACGACTGTTTGTGGGACATTGCTGCGCGCAATCGGCCGCCGCGTTCGCCCACAAACATACAGTCAATTCACTTTACAGTGTGTTCTGCGAAGCGCTTTGGGACGTCCTCCCGACGTGAACAGCGCTCTATCAAATGCAAAGGATTATTATTATTATTGTTGTTGTTGTTATCGGGGTTGGGCGTTGGGGGCTGTTCTGCAATCAGCAATGCATTTGAAAAGGCCACAGACTTGTGGAGTCCTGTAGCTCAGTGGTTAGAGCACTCGCTTTGCAAGCGAGAGATCTGAGTTCAATTCCAGGCAGAGGGCGAAACCTTGGGCAAGTTTCCTTACTCCACACAGAGCCTAATAATAATCCCTCCAAAACCCAAAACAATAATAAATGGGTCATTTTCAATCTACGACTGTTTGTGGGACATTGCTGTGCGCAATTGGCTGCCGCGTTCGCCCACAAATATACAGTCAATTCACTTTACAGTGTGTTCTGTGAAGCGCTTTGGGACGTCCTCCCGACGTGAAAAGCGCTATATCAAATGCAAAGGATTATTATTATTATTATAGACTCGCAACCGCCTGCGGCACAGCAGAGCCTGCGCAGGAGCGCGTGCGCAGTCGCGTGGCGGTAGGAGGAGGCGGAGCTCGGCGTCAGCAAATGGAACGTGAGCCCGGGAGTGGGCGGGCCCCGGCTGTCAATCAGCCCCTCCCCCCCACCCCCACCTCGTCACACTGAGTGACAGGCGGCGGACCAACGGGCAGCGGGGGCGGGGGGAGGCGCGGTCAGGCGGCCAACGGGAGCGGTCGAGGGGCGGGAGCCGGTGAGCCGTGAACGAGAGCGCTGGCCAATGAGCGGCGAGTTCGCGGGGCGGGGGGGCGGGGTCCGGAGCGCCCGGAGCCGCCGCGGGTTTAAATAGCGACCCAGCGCGCGCGACAGAGGGAGAGAGACAGAGATCCCGCGTCGGAGACGTTGTAAACGGCATCGCTTTACTCGCTGCGCCCCTTTCCTGCACACACCCCAACCACCGCCACCGCGGCCCCCTCGGTCGGGCTGTGCAATTGCGATTCGTTGCATTTCGGCGGGTGGGTCGGTCGATCGGTTGATGTTGGAAAGCGGCTTTTGCATCGGGTGTTTTTTTTTTGCAATCCCCCCCAAAAAAAAATAAGTTTGGCAATTTGTTTTTTTTGTGTGTGCATTATCTTTCTCTCACTCGTCTTGACTGGTGCGCGCGCGTGTGGGTGTCCACCTCTCTCTCTCTCTCTCTCTGCTGTGCTGCGGCGTTTGTTTGCAATCGCAACCGTCCCGCCCAAAACCCGCCCAACACTCCCCCCTCCCCTCATGTCGAGTGTGGAGCCGTTGCCCGGCGCGAGCGGTCCGGAGCGGACGGCGGCCGCCAGGACGCGCGCTCAGCCGCCCGGACGGACGGCCGCCGTGTGCCGGAGCCTCTTCGGGCCGATCGACCACGACGAGCTGAGGCGGGAGATGAGTCGGCGGCTGAGGGAGTGCGGCGACCGGGACCGCAGGCGCTGGAACTTCGACTTCCAGACCGAAACGCCGCTGGAGGGGGAGTTCGAGTGGGAGTCCAGCAGCGCCCGGGAGTCGCCGGGTTTCTACCGGGAGACGGTGCAGGGCCGCGGGAAGGGGCGGCCGCCGGCGCCTCAGGCCGTCTGCCCGCCTCAGGCCGCCGCCGGGGAGACGCCGGGGCGGCTGCACAGTCAGGAAAACAACCAGGAGAACCGGTCGGTCAACGTGCACCCGAGCGGCAGAGCCAACAAACACTCGGCCTCCCGGAGACCCGGTACCGGCACCGCCAACAACAACAACAACACTCACATCACAGGTCAGGGGCCGCCGCCACAACACACACCGTCTGTCTGTCTGTGTCTCTGCCCCTCTCTCTCTCTGCCTCTCTCTCTCTCTCTCTCTGTCTGCCGCCACACACACTGTCTGTCTCTGTCTGTCTGTGTCTCTGCCCCTCTCTCTCTCTCTGTCTCTCTCTCTGTCTCTCTCTCTGTCTCTCTCTGTCTGCCGCCACACACACTGTCTGTCTCTGTCTGTCTGTGTCTCTGCCCCTCTCTCTCTGTCTGGCTGCTTGTCTCTGCCGCTTCGCCTTTCTGTCTGTTGTGTGTCTGTCTGTGTTTGTCTGTTTGTCCCTCTGGCTGTCTGTCTGTGTGTCCCTCTGGCTGTCCCTCTGGCTGTCTGTCTGGCTGTCTGTGTGTCCCTCTGGCTGTCCCTCTGGCTGTCTGTCTGGCTGTCTGTGTGTCCCTCTGGCTGTCTGGCTGTCTGTCTGTGCGTCTGGCTGTCTGTCTGTGCGTCTGGCTGTCTGTCTGTGCGTCTAGCTGTCTGGCTGTGCGTCTGGCTGTCTGGCTGTGCGTCTGGCTGTGCGTCCCTCTGGCTGTCTGGCTGTGTGTCCCTCTGGCTGTCTGGCTGTGTGTCCCTCTGGCTGTCTGGCTGTGTGTCCCTCTGGCTGTCTGTCTGGCTGTGTCCCTCTGGCTGTCTGTCTGGCTGTGTCCCTCTGGCTGTCTGTCTGGCTGTGTCCCTCTGGCTGTCTGTCTGGCTGTGTCCCTCTGGCTGTCTGTCTGGCTGTGTCCCTCTGGCTGTCTGTCTGGCTGTGTCCCTCTGGCTGTCTGTCTGGCTGTGTCCCTCTGGCTGTCTGTCTGGCTGTCTCTGTGCGTCCCTCTGGCTGGCTGGCTGTCTCTGTGCGTCCCTCTGGCTGGCTGGCTGGCTGTCTCTGTGCGTCCCTCTGGCTGGCTGGCTGTCTCTGTGCGTCCCTCTGGCTGGCTGGCTGTCTCTGTGCGTCCCTCTGGCTGGCTGGCTGGCTGTCTCTGTGCGTCCCTCTGGCTGGCTGGCTGTCTCTGTGCGTCCCTCTGGCTGGCTGGCTGTCTCTGTGCGTCCCGCTGGCTGGCTGGCTGTCTCTGTGCCCCGCTGGCTGGCTGTCTGTCTGGCTGTCCCTGTGCCCCGCTGGCTGGCTGTCTCTGTGTGGCTGGCTCTGTGTCCCTGTGTCCCTCCGGCTGGCTCTGTGTCGCTGGCTGGCTCTGTGTCCCTCCGGCTGGCTCTGTGTCCCTGTGTCCCTCTGGCTGGCTCTGTGTCGCTGGCTGGCTCTGTGACCAGCCGGTGCTGTGGCCACCGGCATCGCTCTGTGTGTCTCTGTCTCTCTCTGTGCCTGCCTCTGTCTGTCTGTTTGTCAAAGCCAATTTGTGTTTGTTTCTAACGTTAAAAATAAATCCAAACCTTCACACTTTTTTCACAAATAAAACCCACACTTCGAGTTCAGAACATTCCACCTTTTCTTAAAAAATAGAGATTTTAAAACTTTTTTCCCCTTTGAATCTTTTGTCCTGACAGATTACTTTGCCAAGAGAAAGAGGATAGTGGGGTCTAAGGGTACGAGTGAGAACGTGTCTCTGTGCCCTCCTGTACCTGGAGAACAGCCTCCAAGGAAGAGGATACGATAAGAGAGAGGGACGAGGAGAAGGAGGAAGAAAGAGAAGGAAAAGGTGAGCGGATCGCATCATATATCTCCTCGTGGCCGAGCGAGCAAATATACACGCGTGCACCCTCCTGGAGACATGAGCAAAAGCTTCGTAGTATTGAGTAGTAAACAAGTTGGATCTTACTTACGTCAGGTTTTTGGGGGCGAGGTTTTAGCTGTCATTGTCCCGTGACACTTTGGTGTGTGTATGTGTATGTGAGAGAGCTACAGCAAAAGCCAGTCCAGTGGCTTCTTGTCCTTATCTTTCAACCTTAAATCTTGCATTATTTTTGTTTGGAAATTGTGTGTGTGATTGAGATATATATATATATATATATATATATCTCTCAATATATATATATATTGCTTTTCTTTCATTTAAGTTTAAAAAGCAATTCTGGGCAGCTTGCCAAATGAATAGTCATTGTTATGACTTCTGCATGTTAACTGTGCGTGTACATTTAACTATTTACTTAACGTTATTCTATTTTTTATATTTATAATATATATTGTGTGTGTGTATACAATTTTGCACCAGTTACTTAACTCGTAGTAAACTTTTTTAAAAAAAGATGGTCTTACTGGGATTTTTTTAATGAGGTTGGGATTTTTTTAATGAGCCCTGATTCTTGTATAAATATTTTTTTAGCAAGCATGCTGACCTGTAAAGTGTGCATGTATATGATATAATGTGTGTGGTATATATATATATATATATATATGTGTATGATAACTAACTTGTAAATCTCTTGCAGATATTTGCACTCCACTCTGGTGATTTTTTAAAAAATATTTTTTAAGAAAAACACAAAGAAATTGTCTGACAGATCATCGTTGTCAAACATTGGGCTGAACAGAACAAGAATGGACACAATTGGAATGACGGAAGGATGGATGGAGCATTCTTTGGGATGTAGCATCAACCCTACACAAGCCACTGATTCAGGGTTAAAGGACTGCAGTGTGCAATTCAAACCAAGACTATTGCATATTTTTATTCGTAATATATGCATTAAACTTCCAGAGTGGCCCAGAAATGTAAAGCCACAATGAATAAATCACTGGGGGAGAGACATGGTACACTCTGAAATCTCAGTGCAACTCGTGATGTAAATTTGTAAAAAAAACAAAAGCTTATTACTAACTTATTTCTTATTTATGTTCGGATTTTTTTTTGTTTTGAATTGATTTATGGAACCAATATAACTCCCCTTATCCTGTGGGACCAAAGGGCACCCAAGGCACGCTTTATTTACTGAAACAAGAATGTAAATATGTTGTTTTTTAGTTTCCGTGTCTCTTTTTTGTGTGTTCACATTGCTGTTCGTAGTTAAATCGTCTTTAGTATATACTTGAAGGTCTGAGCCGTATCTGTACGTACCACTGCCACTTTTAATTGGGGGAAACAATTGGAAAGAGAAAAAAAAACACCCAATCTTTCACCTGAATAAATGAATGCAATTTCATTACAGTTGTTTCATGGTTTATCTGCATTATTTCAACAACACCTTCCATTGATACAGCGTGCCTCATACAGTGTAGAGTCCCAGAGTGCTTGACTGGCGGAGCATGACTCCGAGGGGGGGGTGCGTGACCGTAGGCACGGTCCAAGAAGAAGGTCTTTGGGTGTGACCTGAAGATGGGGAAGGAAGGCCAAAGCAAAGGGGATAGGGGGAGAGAGTTACAGAGTTTTGGTGCTTGATAATTTGGTGGTTGTATCGGGTAAAGTGGGGGTAGGTGACGTATGGGGAGGCTAATTTAGAATAATGGCATTTTACAGCACAGAGATCATTATTTGGCCAATTATGCCGGCTCTTTTTATATAAAAAAAGCCACCAGTCCCACTCCCCCTGCTCTTTCCTATAGCCTTGCATATTTTCTCTTGTTTTCACATGTATATCCAATTCCCTTTTTGAAAGTTGTTGTTCAATCTGCTTATTTGCCCCCAAGTTCTTATTTAGAAATCTCTATCTTTGTATCTCGTTTAGGCTTCCTTGATGGTCTTTCATTATGCTATTCCTATCCCTTGCAATGAAGGGGTAAGGTGTGTGTGGGTGTATGTTTCAGAAGTACACCACATTGTATGTATTTTCACATTTGCACTGAAAATGAGCCCTTTTTGAACTGTATTTGAACAATTAAAATGTTAAAGCTGCATCTGCTGCAATCGCTCAGTAAAAAGTCACAAGTCCCTGTGTTCGTGAGGGAGAGAGTCAGAGACGGAAGGAGTGAGGTTGTAAGGTCAGGGGCAACCAGTTAAATTTGCACTCAAAATATTCCTTAATTTGCACCCCCTTTACCAAACATTTTTTCCCTCCCCCCAAAAAAAATCAGTCGCTATGATTAAAGACGGCTGATGACCTGGAGGGTCAAAGCGGGTTCCCCAAACCCTATCAGTGAGTGAGTGATTCACTCAGCCTCGCATTCAAAAAAAATCTCTGATGGATATTGCCTTTAAAGGTTACACCACCTGCCTTTGTCCGCCATTGATCAAGATCTGACTGGATTCATTTAAATAACTTATGCGCTGAGCCAAGGGGGGGGAGGAGGGGGCTCCTGTGGGGGTCTCCTTCGTTGGGCAGCAATTCACATTGCATTGACTCATCATTTCCTGCTGTGGCCGCAGTTCAATGTTTGTTTGAATGGGCCAGTGAAAGGGACAGAGAGAGGGGGGGGGAAGTTATTTTTATTCATTGTATTTTGGGATTTCCATTATTTAATGACACAAAATTTAATACGGGGCAAGGGGGGTGGTGAGTGTGCTAACTTCAGTATAAATAGTAATAATCCTAGCATTTGATATAGTGCCTTATCACATCGTTGAGACAGAATATATTGTCAAGCGTATTTTGACTGTATTTTGTAGGCAAAACGGGCAGCCAATTGCGCACAGTAGTGTCCCACAAAGAGTCGTGGATTTTTTCTTGAAGGGCTTACTAGCCCCGGAAAACAATCTGTGACAATCGACCAACACCGGATTCCTGCTTACTGAGAGGTAAACCGGTGTGTGGAGTAAGAAAACTTGTCAGAATTTCCCTTCTCTTTGCCAATGGGACCATGGGATCTTGAATATCCACCTGAATATTAAACAGCACCTCCGATAATTCAATGCATCGACCAGCCCGGGAATCGAACCCGGTCCTCTCGCTTGCGAGGCGAGCACGCTAACCACTACACTACGGATCTCCACAGTATGATCCAGATAGCATTTGCCTTGGATAGCAATTGTCAACTTGCGCTGGCGTGCACTCACTATCCCACCACAACATAACTAGAATTGAGAGGATGGAGGGGTGCGGGGGAGGCTGTTGTTGAATTGGTCTCGGTTATTAAAATGGTTTTACAGCCTGTCTCCCCTCCCTCCCCAAAGTATGACCGCCTGGTTCACTGGTAGCACTCTTGCCTCTTGAGTTAGAAGGTTGTGGGTTCAAGCCCCATGTCAGGACTTGGAATCACATAATAATAATAATCTTTGCAATCGATATAGTGCTTTTCATGTCTTCTGGACGTCTCAAAGCACTTCACAGAATAGACTGTAAAGTGAATTAACTTTTTTTGTTGGCAAAATGCAGCATCCAAATTGCGCACAGCAGTGTCCCACAAACAGTCGTGGTTTGAAGTGACCAACTTATTATTTTTTTTCTTGAGGGATTATTATAACATAAGATGACGCTCCAATGCAGCACTGGGGGTGTGCTACATGGTCGGAGGACCTATCCTTCAGATGAGAAGGTAACCCGAGGCCTCGTCTGTTTGCTCAGGTGGATGTTAAACTTGTTCTCTCCCAGTTTCCTGGTGAACAATACCCCAAATAAAATTGGCCGTTCGTTTCGCAGGTTGTTTGCGGGACTTTGCTGTGTGCAAGATTGCCTGCTGCGTGTCGTCCACAAGAAACTCTCTCTACACCTTACGGTAAATCCTGCGAAACACTTTGAGACGCAACAGGAAAGACACTGTATCAAATGCTTCATAAAAATGCAAAGGCTGATACACTGAGTTAATCATTGCCGTGTGTGGTTTAATAGCCGTCATTGCGTTTTATTTTCATTTCCAACCCCAGTGCCGTCTTCCCAATACTTAACGTTTAACCCTCCAAATCTGCCGGCAGCCAAACAACACACCACAACACACACACACATCCGTTGCTGCAGATCTAAAATGATACCCGAACAAGTGTCTTACACTGCGAAATACTGGACCAGAGCAGGAAGAGATGAAGAGAATGGTTGAAGACTGCAAACTGGGAAACAACATTGTCGTGTGCAAACCGGCTGCCTCGACTCTCCTCCCCAAAAACACTCAGTCACCCCACGTTACACTACACCCTGTGAAGTGCTTCGAGACGTCTCAATGACGCGATAAGGCGCTGTATCAAACATAAGGATTGATTGATTGATTTAAACCATACGCACGTTTCCTTACTCCGCTCGTCTCTTGTTTACCTAGCAGCAAGTAGGAACCAGTTTTTTTAGTCGATTGGCAGATCGCTTTCCGGGTGTAATGATGCCTCAAAAAAATAGTGGGTCACTCAATCCACAACCGCTTGTGGGACATTGCCGTGTGCAATTGGCTGCGCGTTTCGCCCACAAAATACAGCCAATCCACGTTACAACATAAGCTATGAAGCATTTCGAGACGTCTTAACCACGTGGTAAGGCACTATATCAAATGCAAGGATAATTATTATTATCGTTTGAACACCTCCTCTGCGATATGATTTTTATTTCGCTCGGAAGAGCAGAGCGGAGTGTGGGGTAGGTGATGGTGGTTTTGTTGGGGAGGGGTGGTGGGGGGGGGGGGGGTGGGAGAGCGGGGAGAGATTGCCCTTTGTAATTCCGTAACCGTGTTAAACAATATTAACAATGGGCTCAGCGAAGGCAGCTGTATGGAGGCCAATATATGTCGGCTCTTGTAGGCGAATGGGGAGCAGGTGTCTTGTGGGGCATTGTGTGTAGTACAGCCTGCATCCAAAATAGCCTGATGGAAATCACAATGAACGACCCTTCCAAAATATATTCATTTCACAAAGTTCATTATTTTTTTCAGGAGAAAGGGAGAAGGTGGGGGTGTTAAGGAGGGAGTGAGTGTGTGTGTGTGTGTGTGTGTGTGTGTGTAGAGGGTGGGGGTAGAGTGATAATAGGTCAGCACTGGTTGGGGTTCCAGGTTGCAGATGATTCCTTTAACTTCCTTGTCGGGATTTTTTTGTTACTTTTTATCCCCCCCCCCCCCATCAGCCTAGGAGACTTGTTGTCATTACTGACACAAAGCAAGCAGGGCTGCTATTATCTAGCCACGTTTGTCGCCATATGGCCAATCCTTGTAGACACACATAGCCTGGATCCATTTATTCGAGGAGCGATAATGCTTTTGGATAGGGAACAATCACAACTTTTGTTCCTGCTTCATATATAAGAGGCGAATAAGAGGGGAGAGAAGGGGGCAAATGATTTAACTTGCAAAGGGGGTTTGGGGGGGGGGGTGCTACACAGCTAATTATAAGACCGAGCCATATGTGCCTTTAGTTTTAGGAGTAATTAAATTAACTGCAGACATTTCAATGGTAAATAAGCCATATGCATGCGGGACAAAAGGGGTGGTGGGGTGGGAGAGCGTTACTGATGAAGTTATTTTAAAGCATTGTTGGAATGAATCATTGAGCCAAAGATATACACGATATAAACTCAGGCAGTGTCCACAATAGAAGCCCCCAAATGTTACTCTCCCCCCCACACCCCCCAAACTCCCATTGGACCCATTGATGTAGAATGTAGACAGAGAGTGGAGAGTTGAGGTTAATAGTTTCAGCAGAGTTCATTATAGCTGTTGGCCTTTTCATTTGTGTGTGTGGTTGTGTGTATATGATATATACGTGTGTTGGGGGTGTATTATGTGTGTGTGTATATGTCTGTGTGTATATGTGTGTGTGTTGGGGGTGTATTATGTGTGTGTGTATATATATGTCTGTGTGTATGTGTGTGTGTGTTGGGGGTGTTTTTTAAGGAAAGATTTGTCTTTTGTTTGCACTATTTGACTCTTCCCAGTGTTTCATCTCAGTCTGAAACTCAGTCTAACTGCACGTTACAGCCACATAATTATAGGGAATCAATCATTATCCCATTTCACCTGTGAATGTCCATTTCACCATTGTACGCATCAGCCTCAAATGCTGTTCTTGGGTGAAGACCTACTTTTTTTTCCCATTTCTATTTTATGTTACAAATATCACACAGTTCAATTCAAGCACCTGTGCCGAAAGGGTGACATGGAATAGGAATTTAACCACACAGTCAGTCACTGCACTTAAATCCTGTGAAGCACTTTTGAGACGTGAGCTGAAAATGTAAGTATTATTGTTAAGGCTTGAATAATAATAATAATAATAATTCCCAGCAGGTGCAACTATACTACATATAATATATAAACTTGTGGATGGCTGAACGCATTCGATTTAAAGAGTAATTGATTATGTCT